TCCCCATTAGATAATCACGGCTGATTCTACCCATCCGCCGGTTTCTGTAGAACAGCATAGCTCATGCCTGGCGCCTGTGTCTGAAAACAAATTACTTCTGTTCGGCTGAAAAGTCACCTGGAATTGTTTCTCCAGACACAGCCCGGTGATGTGGAATGACAGGTCAATGGTTTTATGCTGCACTGAAGAGATTATTTCATGATTAAAACCTAATGTTGTCTCACTAAAGTTCGCTCGCGGTGATCTGTGAAACATTACTCCTTATCGCACAAATCAACATTACTCATGACGGCCTAGCCATTACAAGGGCAGCAAATAAACCAGTGCATGATATATTGGCATCATGAATAAATAACTACACAAGTGTCACCGGACACTGACTCTTGTTGACAAAAAAATAGCTGGGAATTGGAACATAAATTCACAACTCAAAATATTGAGAATAATCAAACTTAGTAATTGTACTAATTGCTTAGATAACCAGATACCTTTTCGTGTTCATAATCTATTAAATAGAAGATGCTTTATAGTCAGATAAGTCCAATGCTATTTGAAAGCTGGCGATTGGTGTACTTAACTACTCAGGTTAGACTATGGTCTACATGGTCTAGTAAATATCAAATACCCTGCTGTAGCAACGATGTCACAGTCAGCTTCATTTACGGTCCGAGTTTTCCGTTAGTCAGTCAGGTGCTACCATAATTAGAAGGAACTGAAGTGTACAGTGTAATGGCGTGGCTACAGTAGGTACTTTTTATATGAAATATATTAAAGAATATAATACGAGTTATTTATACATTGTAGTGTAGATGAATAAAAGTATATACAATTAATGAGGAATATTATTATACCAGTTTATTCCTATTGTGAAGGATTAGAAAAAAAAAACAAAAAAACATGTGACTGTTTTCTTCTTTTGTGGAATGCAGTAGATATGGTCCGATTTTAATATATGCATTATTTAAGCATGTTTACGGTTCGATGATAATACATGAGCAGTTGCAAGTCTTTATCTCTACAAATAAACTCGCGACAAGCAGCTGTATACTTCAGCTGGGCGCACCACCCGCACCGAGGGGCCTCTCGGAGTTGCAAGTGTCGCCAGCACATCAGACTTACGTTTGCACGTTCATTTGAAGCTAAATCATCGATAATACATAACTATTCCATAATCAAATTATTTTACTAGTTATATATACCAAAAATAAATGTTAAGATAGTATAATATAATTTATTCGTGTGAACTCATTAGATAGGCCTGCAAATAATTTATATAATTTACTTTACAAGAAAAGCGTTCATGACAAACGAATATTAGCAATATGTATATGCTTTCTGAAAAGTTATTTCTATCGAACAAAAAATAATTCAAGGTCTGTGAGATTCATAGGACCACTTGCCGCTGACCTGACCCTCAGCTGCAGAGAGAGGTCAGCCCCAGGCCCTGGAAGCCCGCTGCAGGCGGCCACGCCCCTGGGCAAGGCAGAGGGAAAAATGACCAGTGTTCCCGGGCTCTGGGGGCCCGCTGCAGGCGGCCATGCCCACGTGAAGGTCGGGCACTGGCAGTTTCTTTAGCCATGCCTCTGTGGCTCCGCCCCTGCTTCCAGTGGTCGCAGCTACTTATTCTCCAAGGATGACCCTGTGAGACGAGAGTGTGCCCTGGTGCAGTCGAGGTCACGTTTGACTTGGGGTGGGCCGCCAGTGACCCCAGGCGACCCTCCAGCCGACCGCACGATACCCAAGTGTCATCCTTGTGTTACAACTACGTGTGCTAACTCTTATCAATAAAAGAGATTTAAGCCACCAAGCTTTTTCTACTCCCTGTCACTAATGTTTAGAGGTCCTTATATTAACCCTTACAAGGTCCCTTCGTAACAGGTGCTTCGCTCGAGACTAAAGGTTGTCTTGTGAATAATAATATAATAATAATGATAACATCATAAAAAAATAAAGGTAAATCAGTGCGAAGCTATTGGGGTACATCAAAACTTACGAACGACCACGGCACTTCTATGTGCATACATGCACACACTTGCGTACACGCAGATACGCACTCAAACAAAGCCGGAAGCGAATGAAATTATTTGCATCACAAGGCATCTTCTTAGATACCTATGAATATAAATGTTCACGTTTGTACATATGGACACAGATAGGCCTATATACACTTACACATATCCTCATGTTCACACATTTATTTACATTTACACACACGTATATGCATGTATATGTATATGTACACTCGCTAAAAAAATATCCTTACTCGGGAGTAGATGAAACCGAAACGATCACTAGGAGTTGATTCGGAAAGGTGGTACTTATTTTCAAAGCTTGGAACAGATGAAGCTTCACAATGTGTTCGAATAATATTTCGGAGCTGATATGGCTAGGGCCTTGTATCATATAAATATTAGCAAAGGAGACCTCAAATACCGTTTGCAACATCATAATTACGCTTTACTCGTTGGGATTATCAATAGCCGACATATCAACAAGATTAGGTATTTCGAATACAACCATGTCTCTGTGCCAGAAGTGGTAGTCCTAGACGCACGATGGAGGAAGATCAAGTAAATGTCATTCAAAACTATAAATGTAATACACGAAAGACAAATAGGAAGATTGCTCTGAAGTGCATGAATATTATGAGCTAATGAAAACCATTTGATACTCAGTGGCAACACCCCTTAAAGTTAACTTGATCTGAGAAGGGGGTGTGGCCAGAAAGTAGATGCAACGTCCCCTTGTCGTGAGTCATTTTCTTCTTAGTTATTTATTTTCATTCTTTTTTAGCAATCCTTAGCTACTGTAAGGGATGTGGACCCCTTTTGTTCTGTTGGCAATATTCGGCCGGACTTATGCTGCAATACGCAGAATCAGAAATCACTGGTCTTTTTGAGTGGATGCACATAAGCAGGGTTGGGAGAGTTGATGGATTTGGAGCCCGGCAGATTTACAGGGTAAACCTACATGGAAATCCTGGACGAGCTGTTTCTGCCATAGGTGAGGGCCATGATGTCCCCCATGAACCTCAACCAGGATAACAGCCCAAGCGGTGTAGTGAAGACGACAACACCCCGAGATTATGCTGTGTCACATCCACCCAAATCGCCAGATTTCAGTCTCATTGAGAATGACTGGGCAGCCATGGGCAGAGACTTCCCCAAAGATTGTACTCTGCAGATGGACGCCAGTCAATAGCGGCGTTAATGGCTTCCATGTCACCAGACTTATCAGTGTTTGCCAAGTTGGTGGTGGTAACATGAAATATTAATAGTATATATTTCAAAATCCTAATTTCTTTAATGTAGCCGAGCGAAGTGACCAAAAAATTAGAAAAAAAAACCTATTACTGGATCTATGTCGGTGTAATTACTTAAAGTTCAAAATTGTGGCCCTTAGGTGGGCACAGTCTAGGAGAGGACATATGACCCCTGTCCCCCTTACCCAAATGACAGCCCTCTCAGGGATACCAATATCAGGTCGAGCTCACAGCACTTTAGATGAAACCAAAAAGATTGCTAGGAGTTGATTCGGAAAAATCAGTACTTGTTATAAAGCTTGAATAATGTTTCAGAGGTGATATGACTAGGGCCTTGTATCAAACCAATATTAGCAATGGAGTTCTCATAGACAATTTGTTTCGCCATAATTCCACTTTACTCCGAGGGACTATCAAAGAGACGAAACATCAACAAAATTAGGTATTTCGAAGCCAATTGTGTCTCTGTGGATCCAGCAACAACAAGCAACTGGATCCACCAGAGACAAGGTCAGAAGTCGGCACCGTAGATGCATAATGGAGGAAGATGATCAAGTAAATGTCATTCAAAACTATAAATCAGTGTGCTATGTGAAAGACAAAGGAAGCTTGCATTGAAGTGTATGAATATCATGAGCTAATGAAAACCATCTGATACTCAGTGGCAATACCCCTTACAGTTGACTGGATTTCAGAAGGGGCGTGGTAGTTAGTTGCCACGTCCTCTCACCATGAGTCATTTTCTTTTTAGTTATGCATTTTCACCATTCTTTTTTTTTAACAATCCATACTACAAGGGATGCAAGCCCCTTTTGTTCTGCTGGCAAAAGCACACAGACTCCGAAATTGCCGGGTAGCTTGAGTGGATGAACAGCAGTGGTGTTGGGGAGTTGATGGATGTCGGGTTCGGCAGATTTACACGGTATGCCTACGTAAAAATCCTCGACCAGATGTTTCTACAGTCGGTGAGGGCCATGGTGTTCCCCGAGTTAGAGCCATTTAATTTCGTCCAGGATAACAGCCCTAACCACACAAGCAGTGTCTCGTAGGCGTGATTTCGGCAATATCCCGCTATTACGCTGTGCCACATCTACCTAAATCACCAGATCTCGGTTTCATTAAGAATGTTTGGGCAGCTTTAGGCAGAGACTTCCCCTAAGATCATACCCACAATCTTCATATCATTGTTGCTCAAGCAATTACGGCATGGGAGTGATTGAATTCTGCAGACGGATTCTAGTTAATAGCGGCGTTAGTGGCATATATGCCACTTAGATTTACCAGCGTTCGCCAAGCTGGTGGCAGTACACAAAATAGTAGTAGCGGTATATATTTCAAAACCCAAATGTGGCCGAGCGAAGCCCCCTTGCCCCCAAAGAACGCTCGTCTGGGATACCAATGTCAGGCCGAACTGTTTTCGTCGTCGTATCATATTGTTAAGTCTGAAAGGGTAAAGATACTGTTTTAGCGACTGTACACCCGCTAAAAAAGTATCTTTATTCTTTATGACTTAAAGACCATAAAGTCGGAATGAACCCGCATCGAACTTTTCACCGATGGGTCACCTGCACAACAATATATATATTTTGTGGAACTCATCAGACGCCATACCTCTCTCATACATGTCTCTTAGTAATCTTCGCGATATATCTTTCTAATTACTTCAACACACACATATATGTATATATATATATATATATATATATATATATATATATATATATATATATATATATAT